TTTTGAGCTAATTTTTTTAAACCACTTTTGTCCAAAAAAGCATATTTTTGACCCAAATCAAAAACGCATTCTGGATATTTAAAATAAAACAAGTTTTACAAAGTTTGTATAATAAGCTTTCAGAAAATATATAACATGCTGGATATATAATACCATCTTCATTGTCTAATTACTCAATTAAAAAGCAAGCCAAATAAACTGCATCTCTACCTTAACTTGACTCATTAAATTACAACAATTGGAGAAGTAAATTTACCTTGAACAACTAAGTCTGGTTTAGGTTCTGTACAAAACCTCCTGTTAAGTGGATCCAGTTCTCCTACTTGTAAAAAGTTATCTTGTAATAATCTACTGAGTATATACAATGAGGTACCCCACATTTGGGGTATTTTACCACCAGCTACTCTTTCTTGACTATGTGGTTCTTTATATTCCTTTTCAACCTACAGTGCATGTGAATGAGAATTCAGGATTAGACGAGAAATCAATAAATTAATTACCCATTTGTGTTTTACAAGCAGTTATATCATGTCATCAACTTTGGAGTCTTGCTAAAAATTTATTTATGACAAACATGGTCACTAGATCTAACTGACATTTGCACAAACAATTCAGTAATTCTCAAAATTCCAAAAATAAAATAAAACATTCAGCTGGTAAATCCATGACTTTGATATTTAAAGCAAATATCATATTTATATAAATTACCATACAAAATAAGTAAAATTTGAATGATCCTGCATAGAATAAATGCAACCATCGACTTATGTGGGCTTCAATTGGAGAAGTATTTCTAATAGTCAAGAACAAACACTGAGGCTGAAATTCTGAATTCAGGATTCACTGTGATGATTAAAGTACCCAGTAAGAGGATTGGAACAAATTGTCTGATATGATGCCATACCAAACACAAATATCATAGAAATTTTAAACTGAAACAGATTTTTATTGTCCCAGCTACTCAGTCTTTTTTTTTCACTCTTTTTTGGTGAACAATTGATACCTGCATGTTGTTGCTATTAATACTGGTAAGGTTAATACACCCAAACAAAAATAGTCATGTTCCTAGCGATTATGAATGCTAGTTAAAATGTACATTTTGGTGTTTTGAATGAAAAATTCTGACAAATCATAATATTAACAAAAAAAATAATGAAAATTAAAAAAAAGTAGGTGCCCATGCACATCTTTTTAACTACAGAAGAGATTTATGACACACCTTCGTTTTTGAAAAATACTTACTAAATGACTTTCTACATAATACAATTCTGGTACAACTTTAGTTCCATCAGTGCAAGTATAAAGTACATCATTCAACACTTCCCTGTATTCTGAAATCATCGTTCTATTAGACTGGAATATACCGTCAATCAATAAATAACACCAAAACACTGGCCATTCACACTCTATATTCTCAAAAACCTTCAATTCATAAGGTTCATAATAAAGCCTGTTAGGATCCTGTAAGACAATAAATTAATCAGCAATAGTAAATACACTGCTTGAACTTGAAAACATTTTCAAGTCAAATTTGATAAAATTGTATTGCTATCATAGGAATAATATAGGGAATATTGAAGGACACAAACTTGAAGGCAATTTCTTTTGATTGGTCTGGGATACTCAAAATACATGTAAAATGTAGCTCTTGAATGTTGCTATAGTCTTCATTTTGCTCTCACCTACTAAATGTGTCTGGATTTGTTTTTTAATTAATTTTCTTTCATATATGTTTCTAATGGTCAACACCTCTAAATGTTACTTTTAAATTTCCATCTAGAAACCCTCTCCACTTTTTTAAAATGATAATTGCAAACAGAAATATGTTCACATTATTTTTCACAGCTTTTTAAAAAAAAACTGCTAATTTCAAAGACACATTAGGTAGATCCATTGCATTATAAAGTAAAAGTAAACACACTGATACACATATACAATGAGTATCTAGGAATACATCCTCTCACCTCTTTGACAGTTTTATAACCATCTCGTAAGAACCGACAGCACCCGTAGTTTCCTTGTAATTTGTCCACTATGGTTTGTCTTGTAATGTTCACAAGATCTACATTATCTACTGCAAATGCTGGGAAGCTAATAACACTCAATAAGCCAGCATCTACTTCCTAAAACAGAAAAACCAATGCAATTACAAACTAAAGAGTGGTATGCATTTGAATACTACAAGTACGACTAATGGCAGGCATAATCAATGTAAGGGTAATACATTTGTACATGCAAGTACCGTACATTTTGAACCCAGAACAATGACAATTGTGTAGTATATTGCACAGAATAACATTTTCCCCCCACAGAGAGGTACATGTATTGTACAGATCCTGTGCATTTATAATATGCCGATTTACATGAGAACTGCATGATATAAACAGCAGTATACATGTATATATTTGTGTACTATGCTTCTTTGGTCTGGTTGATAATTTATGTAATGGTGCACATACATGTACATGAACAGATCTTGTAGAACCATTATGTATTTCATAATTTTAGCAAACATTTTGTGCCTCCTTTAACATATTCAAAGGTTGTTAAGTAGCATACATGTAGTTGATTCAAAGCTGGACATACCCAGACAAAATAATAAAGCTGAAATTCATTCAATCTTAGATTCAATTTTGACCTATCCTTATGAAACCACAAAATTGCCAAAAAAAAAATTCATGAAAGTTTTATGATTTCACAAAACAATATGCTGTAAGAATACTTTATTTTCGCTTGGAATTTATTTTCGCTATTTTCGCTGAAGGGATGATTCCGTGAAAATAAAATCCAGCAAATATACTTTTTTTCCTATATTTCATATTAAACTCATCAAAAAACAGTGAAAATAAATTCCAAGCAAAACGCCCAAAAAGCCTTTTCAGCGAAAATTAATTCCAGCGAAAATAAAGTATTCCACAGTATACTTTACAATTTAAGATGCATGCACATGTAACCATTGCAAAACACAAATCATGATACAGGTGAATAATTTGACATTCAACTCTGAAACTGAATCTGAAACTAACCATTCTTTAGAATGTTGAATTTGGGGTTTAGAGAGGGATCAGTATGGTGCATGTTGGCACTGGGTAACAATATTAGGAGGAGAAAGGTTGGAAAACAAGCGAGATAAGGTTGGGTGGAAAGGGTTGCATCTCCTGAATCTATTCAGTAACATTAAGCTTTGGCAGCCAAAATATCATCATAATATTCATGATCTGTTTGTACTATATGAACATTTGGCATGATGGTCCAATACTTCATTCTTAGTGTTACATAAAATCAATACAACTGTTTATGTATAATATTAACAGAACTCCTTAAACCTAGATAAACCATTCATGATATTTCTATCTCCCTGGCATGTTTACATAGATAGTGCAATGGTTTTTGTATTTATACACAGAGACTACAGTTGCTGATAATGATAATTGGTTATGACCTTTATCAATGTAAATATCTGCTTTATATCCAGTACAAGTACAGGTATTGAGGCAATGCATCCAAGGGTTTTTATCAAATCTGACCAGAAAATTAAACCTACTTTAGTTCAGATTTATACTCAATGATACATCACATTACCATGGCAACAGGCAATTAAGGACGTGTATCATACCCCAAGGAATAGAAATTATTATAACAATAATAACTATTTGCAGGGATCTTTATTCAACACAGAATATGAACACTACTTAAAGATTTCTCAAATATAATTATTAAATTCACAATGCAGGTTTTTTCTTTGTGGATTTTTTTGCACAACGTTCAAGTATGTAATAAAATAAATGACTTTGATTTATCGTACCGAATCAATGTCACCATCTACTTATAATTCAGCTTTCCTTGAATGTCTTGTACACTATTTACTCCAATGTACATGTTTTATGTAAAATACACTATCAAAATAGTTCACAAAACTAGAATGAAATTACTTATACCCAGGTGCTTTATTGTTTATTCATTAAATCTTCTTCAAAAGATAATTTCCCACTAACATTTTGGTTTTTACATTTTACATGTTGTTGTTAATGACATCATTCTCATCAGAGGCAGCTTTTTGTCTAAATTTAAATAAATAAATTTTAAACAAGAAATCTAAATTTGGCTTCTAAAAGGTTGAAATATTTTTGGAATCATGCAGGCTTCTATTACTAAGAAAATCAGAGTTGACATTCGTATAGCTTTCAGCAATACACCACATTATACACTTATTTCATTGGCATCTGCAGATGGCAAGCAAGTACACAAATTAAGTTCAGAAGAAAATTTAATTTATGGATGTGTTGCTGATAAGTGTCACCAATATGTATTTACCGGTAACATTAACAATTTCAATATTAGCCCAAATTAGCCAAAGTTTTCAGTGTAAGTTTACAAAGAAGTGAATGTGTACAATATGTCCCACAATAAGCAAGGAAAGTTTTAGAACCGCAGTCATTAAAATGAAATGGCCACCAGTCAGCTATTTTGAATTCAATCTGCAAAACAAAGCGACATGCAACAAGGTCCCATACTGTCAGACTTGTATACCAACTTTGAATACCACCTCATCCCAATGACAGAATTGATTTTGATGAATTTTTGTCGCAACAAATTCAGCTGCTATTTTGAATTGAATCATAAAACTAATATGAATGTACATTTATGATGTATATGTGAAGTATTTTTTTAACTCATTAATTACTGAAAACACAAAACTTGTTTTATATAACCTTGAAAAGCTTACTAACATTTTATTTAAAAATAATACATATAACACCATACATTTGCATAACCACAGTTCAAAAGCATTAACCAATAGACAGCAGACAAATGATAGGTATACACAATTTATTAAAATACATAGTCAAACCAGTATGATAATAACATGTGGACCTCAAAGCCGACGACCAATTAGTGATGACATGAGTATGAAATGATTGAGCACATCCTGTTCCACATGTGGCACTGGGATATACATGTATATAATAATAATCAAACAATTGTTATATATCAGACAGAAGTGACAGTAATGTGTCTAAGCAGTGTGCCCGCTGAGCCACGATTTTTTTTTGATAATTATCTTAAAAAAACATCTTAACATACATGCAGTCATGAAATTTGTAATTTTGTAAAATGATTTTTATAAACAAAATGACAAAATAAATGTAATACTAAGAAAATCAGGTGTCGCAACAGTTTAGTTCACACATTTAGAAGCTTAAGACAGCTACATTGAATCTTTTATTTTTTCCTGAAGATTTCTCTTTTCGCACCAAATTGACTCAACTTGAATTTTAGAATTTTATTTTATCTAAAGATCACGCTGAATCAAGGATCACGCTAAATCTAAGATCACTATAGTCATAATGAAACAACCAAATTTGGCTTCACGAAGATCATAACATCTGCCAAACAAACTTTTTGAATGTGACAAGTCAAATAACAGCGAGTTTGTAAATGATCCAGCAGAACCAAAATTAAATAAGTTTGTTTTGTATAGATGTTGCCAACATTTTGTCCATTCTAAAATTGCTTGGATACACATACCACATGAAATACATGTAAAGGTGAGCTAGACTACACAGCAGGCAGTTTGCTTAATGTTAGGAATAATAAACAGGGACGGACATTTCAGAGCACAGACATAACATTTCACAAATAATCTTAAACCATGCATGGTACGTCTTATTTTAGGCACTTAGAATGACTTTTCATTTTCACAGAGTTCTCAAGTGGAAATAAGATTCATACAGAAACTACCGAATACAAACGTATTAGTGAACACAAGCATGATAAGATCAATTCTGACAAGCAGTTGTAATGAGTTTCTACCTATCACTATTATGTAACTAATAAGATCAGAGGCAAGAAGAAATGAGAAATCTCATTTCAAGATGTATCCAAAGAACAATACAAAATGTATGTCTGAGTTATTGTTGTCTACCTTACATAGTGTGAATTGATCATATATTAAATAACATGGGAATTTCTTGGGATATTACACACAATGTTTTTTCCAACTGACACAAAATGCACATGCATCTGTATGTGAGGAGAATTTCTTATGACACTATTTAAGACAACACTATGAATAAAAAGAAAAAGTACACATTCTGCTAATTCATCTTCAACGAGCGCAGAATTTCATATAAGAAAAAATAGAACAAGTTGAGTTTCGACAAAAGTCTACTACATTATCATTTAATACTCCACCCAGAAACTCTTTTGTATAAAGTGTCCGAGTCTATTTTTCTCATAGTGGTCTCCATGGATGACACATGGGAATTATGAGTTTCTATTTTGGAACAACAAAGTAGGATTTATATCAACTCCAGTGAACATTCATTTCCCACGGGGGTAACACTGAAATAGCATACAATTCTTAGTAGTTGTAAGAGAAAGACGTGCAACACAGGTTAATGTAAAATATCATGTTACAAACCAAATTGTAGCCTCACTAATGTACCAACAACACAGTTTTTGGCAGTTGATAGTAACAGAATATCTCCTATACTTTCATACCTACTTCAGTAAGCACAAATTATTAACTGTTTTACATGTTTTGTGAAATCTACACTGATTTTCCAACAAAGATTGCTGATGAAAAAACACTTCTAGTATTTGCCAAATATACATGTACAAACACCATTGAGAAGGTTAAATGAAGTATTCATTGCAGATAGAATTATTTTGAATGTTCAGGTACTGACATGACATGGTCATGACAATCCTAATATGTAGTCTTACCTTAGATTTGGATTCCCTGGGTAGCATGGATTCTAATACAGCTGCACATTTAGCAGTTTCATCTGGCAAGACATGGATAACTGAGGCTGGTCCTCCACGAGCACCAAATAAATTAAGTTCACTTAAAGCCTCTAAGGCAGCCTGCAGGTGAATAGTGACATAGCATGAAAATCAATGAAGCTTCCAACATTAGCAATCCCTGGTACATTGTATAATGCATCTTTCTCCACATTTAACTCTAACCTAATTCAGAAAATTAACAGGTCAGATCAGGTCGGGTCAGGTCGGGTCGGGTCAGATCAGGTCAAGTCTATATCTGAAGTAGTGTTTATTTCACTATCACATAGATAACATTTGTATTTCCGCAGTGTGATGTTATACAGTACAGATCCAAATTGTAAATATCACATACTGCCAAAATTTTTAATCCTATAACATTTTATTTGACGTCAGCAGACACCTACATGTATGGTTCAGGGTGATACAAAAGTCACTCGTTTCAGCTGACGTCAAGAAAATATTGAGGGATTATATATAAATATTTAATTATAGATAAGTACTGCATATGCGAGCCAAAGGTCAAAAATACTGCATGCATTTAAAAAAGAATAAAGTACATGTAAGTGCTACCAAACATTTGCAAAGCACACTAATTGTCTCCCGAGGAATGTTTTGTCATTTGTTTTCACATTCAAAGCTGTGACAGGCGAGTACTTTTCTCTAACATGTTATGGATTTTTTTTCAAAAAAGGATATATTATTGTTCACATGAAATTCTGATGTTTGCGCCTTACATTATAATTACATTACACCAACCCTTTCATCACTGGATTCATTACACATGGATGGTTAAATGTTCTTAAACCTTTTTACCACAAATTCACAAAATATTCCTGCTTATAGTCTGCACTTTCCTTCAGAAGATTGAGACAAAAAAAGCCAAATCTTTTGAGTAAAAATTGAAAATTGTCTCAAATTTTGTCTGTTGGCTCCAAAATTAGGGTTTATTTCCAGAAATATTGAAGAATATGAGAAAAAAGTGCTGAAAAATCTGGGCGAGAAGGTCTGGTGGTGAAAATGTTAAAAGCATGGACATTATGGATCTATGGTCTTCAATGAGACAACATAAAATAATCTGTAGGCAATAGAGCATTGCATACAATTCACTAAAATTAAATACCATATCCACGCTGAAAATGTCAGTCATCAGACACCGACAACAAACAAAACACAATTATTACCTTCGCCATTCCTATAGAGCTGGCATTTAACTCAGGGATGCCCTTATTGGTTTTATCTCCTCTCTCCCAGATACCAAAATCCTAAAAATAAAATGACGAAATTATTCATGAGCAAATCCTGTATAGTCCAGATCATATAATTCTGGTTTCCGTAAATCAAAACAAAATACAGTCTCACACTAAGGGTTCTTGAGGTAGAATGTACGCGTTTTTGATATACAATGTACATGTATGTAATATACATGTACAGTTGTATACTATATCCAAATCTGTCTTATTAATTATTTGTCAACAGCATGACAATTTTAAATCAATGGAAACACCCACATCTTGACATCAACAAGAATACATCATATAATTAATTTACCCTATGTCATCAAGCTAAACTTTGAGATGCAGAGATAGTCCACAACTTCAAACGAATGTGTTTATATGTATGGCATGCTGTATAATGTAGGTGTAAAGTTTGATTGCAATCAGTCATTAAGCATTCGTCAATATAATGTTTTGTTATTTCCATTTTGAGTCCAATCTTAAAAACAACAAGCCATGCATGGCACAGTTCTCGTTAGTTATCGAATTTAAGATATATAGTTTTGTTTATAGTAATATAGCTGGAATATAAACATGTCAGGAATATGATTATGATGATTGTTTAACTTTAAAATGATTGACATTTGTATCGTCAAACCAGTATTGAGAGATACTGCTCTGGAACAGAATTAATTAAAACAAAATCATTTTGAATACATGTATAATGAATATATAAAATTTGAACATAATCAGTCAAAGCATGTCAAAAATATGGCTCTAGAAGCCCATTCATTAAAACAAAATGGCCGCTAGTCAGCCATTCTGAATCCGATCTGAAAAATAAAATGATGTGCATCAGGAACCTTTAATGTCTAATGTATATATACCAAGTTTGAACGAAATCCATCCATAAATGCCAGAAATGCAAGTCAGAGATATAGCACTAGAACCATATTCATTAAAACAAAATGGCCACCTGTCTGTAATCTTGAATCTGATGTGAAGTTTCAATGTGATTCACCCAGGCATCTCCAAGATGCATAGATGCACACATGCATGCAAGGAAATTAAAAGTTTCATTTTGTTTGGCTACATCTGGTGAAAAAATCATATGTACATGATGGGT